ACAGGGACAGGGTGGGCGCTGTCCCCGAGCCCCCCGGGGCCACCCCCGGCGCTGAGGCCGCTGGCCCCGGCAGAGCCCGAGCAGCAGCTCCCAAACTCCGGCTGCCTTTTTAAGGACAACGGGCCCTGGCCAGGGAGGCGCCCGGGGGAGGCAGCAGAGATGGCCCGGGGTCACCCCCGGAGCTAGGGGGGCTGGAGGGAAACTGAGGCACCGATCCCGAGCTGTGCCCGGGGCAGGGACAGGCGGGCACTGGAGCAGTGACAAGGAGCTGCCACCAGCACAAGGGACCCAAAGGTGACGGTGTCCCCTGTGGCTCCAGAGAGGGGACGGGCTCTGTGCTGTCACCCCCAGAGGACAGGGACAGGGTGTCCCCAGCACCGCCAGGTCACAGCTCCAGTGTCCCCAGGGCCGGCTCTGTCCCCTCTGTGCTGTCACCCCCCAGAGCAGGACAGGGTGTCCCCAGCACTGCCAGCTCACAGCTCCAGTGTCCCCAGGGCTGGCTCCTCCAGGCCGTTCCCTTTCCCTGTCAAACATCCCACAGGGGCTGGACTTGTCCCCTGGCCCTGCACTCCGTGTCCCCCTCCCAGCCCGGCCCGGCCGTGTCCCTGCCAAACCCATGAGGTCACCGAGGGGAAAGGCTGCCATATATGACATAAAGAAATCCCTTTAGGATAAACCCTTCCCCAGAGCCAGCAGAGCGGGGTGGGAAAAGGGGCTGGATGGAGGCTGGAGGGAATCGCACGGAGCCGGGGGCAGGATCCCAGGGGGACACCCCCGAACCCCAGAGCCACCCCTGAGCCCAGAGCCGCTGCCACCATCCCCAGAGCCACTGCCACCATCCCCAGAGCCGCTGCCACCATCCCCAGAGCCGCTGCCAGCATCCCCAGAACCGGTGCCAGCATCCCCAGAACCGCTGCCAGCATCCCCAGAGCTGCTGCCAGCATCCCCAGAGCCGCTGCCAGCATCCCCAGAGCCACTGCCAGCATCCCCAGAGCCACTGCCACCATCCCCAGAGCCACTGCCAGCATCCCCAGAGCCACTGCCACCATCCCCAGAGCCGCTGCCAGCTCCAGGACTCCACGGCTGCGGGACCCCGGGCAGGGCTGGAGCGGCAGCAGGAGCCCACGCAGAGCCTAAAAAGGCAAAGTTTGGCCCCTGCAGCCAATCCAGCCCGGGGATGCTCGCAGGAACGCCAGGCATCCCACGGCACAGGCCCTGCTCCAAACTCCCCGCGCCCCCAGCACCTCCCTGGGACGGAATGGAAACGCCTGGAACCTCGGGGGATGCTGCTGAGGATGGGCAAAGCCGTGAAATGAGGGGTTGGGATCCGTTCAGTTTGCTGAGAGGGGAGATAAGAGTCGCTCCCTGCCTGTGGGAACCCCCCCAAAACACACGACCCGCGTTGTCACAGGCAATAAATCATCGTGGGGTTCAGCTCCTCCCAGATCCAACCTGATTTTGGGTGATTTTAAGGTGACAGGGTTGTCACAGGCAATAAATCATCCCTGCTGAGTGTAGTTTATGTTTTGGGTTCAGCTCCTCCCAGATCCAACCTGATTTTGGGTGATTTTAAGGTGTGAAAGGCAATAAATCATCACTGCTGACTGTAGTTTATGTTTGGGGTTCAGATCCAACCTGATTTTGGGTGATTTTAAGGTGTCACTGCCAATAAATCATCCCTGCTGAGCACAGTTTGTGTTTGGGGTTCAGATCCAACCTGATTTTGGGGGAGCTGGGATGGATCCCTTGGGATATTCCCCAGGGATGAGGAGCTGGGATGAATCCCTTGGGATACTCCCCAGGGATTTGAGATGTGATTTCCCACTCTGTGTCCCCTTGGGGTGGGGAGCTGTGGGATGAACATGGAAACCGCACCCCCCCACACTCCCGAGCATGGCTTAAATTAATTNGTGTCACAGGCAATAAATCATCGCTGCCGAGCATAGTTTGTGTTTGGGGTTCAGATCCAAACTGATTTTGGGTGATTTTAAGGTGTCACAGGCAATAAATCATCCCTGCTGAGTGTAGTTTATGTTTTGGGTTCAGCTCCTCCCAGATCCAACCTGATTTTGGGTGATTTTAAGGTGTCACTGCCAATAAATCATCCCTGCTGAGCACAGTTTGTGTTTGGGGTTCAGATCCAACCTGATTTTGGGTGATTTTAAGGTGTCACAGGCAATAAATCATCGCTGCCGAGCATAGTTTGTGTTTGGGGTTCAGATCCAAACTGATTTTGGGTGATTTTAAGGTGTCACTGCCAATAAATCATCGCTGCTGACTGTAGTTTGTGTTTGGGGTTCAGATCCAACCTGATTTTGGGTGATTTTCAGGTGTGACAAGCAATAAATCATCACTGCCAAGTGTAGTTTATGTTTGGGGTTCAGATCCAACCTGATTTTGGGTGATTTTAAGGTGTCACAGGCAATAAATCATCGCTGCCGAGCATCAGATCCAACCTGATTTTGGGTGATTTTAAGGTGTCACTGCCAATAAATCATCCCTGCTGAGCACAGTTTGTGTTTGGGGTTCAGATCCAACCTGATTTTGGGGGAGCTGGGATGGATCCCTTGGGATATTCCCCAGGGATGAGGAGCTGGGATGAATCCCTTGGGATACTCCCCAGGGATTTGAGATGTGATTTCCCACTCTGTGTCCCCTTGGGGTGGGGAGCTGTGGGATGAACATGGAAACCGCACCCCCCCACACTCCCGAGCATGGCTTAAATTAATTAACCCAGGCTGAAAACGAGCTCCCAGAGATGCCCCAGAGGCTCCCTGGGGCCAGCCTGTTCCCAAAAGAACTCTGGAAATAAAGCTGGGAGCAGCACTCGTCACGCAGGGGCTGCTGCAAACACGACAAACCCCCCAAAGAAACGGATCCCACCCCAGGGGGGAGAGCTCTGAGAAAACCAGGGAGGCCCAGCCTGGATAATCCCATCCACGTGTGCCCGAAGGAAAGCCTCGGGGTGCTGCCAGGACGAGCACACGGCACGAGGAGGGAGATGTTTGCACGCCCCTTCCCCTCCCCGCGTGCCCCCCAGCCCATCCTGCGCTGCCGCGTGGGGATGTGGAGCCCTCCCGAGCCTCGCCACAGCTGCTCTCCACCTTGGAATTCTGCTGTTTCCCTCCCCTCCCGGGGCTGGGGGCTCGGCCTGGAGGGTGGGGAAGGAAAAATCTCGGCTTGGCACCCGACTAAAGCACCTCGAGGAGGCTCCAGCACCGCAGCGACGTCACGGAGCGCCCGCCTCGGGCGAGGACGGGCTTCCCGCAGCTCTGGGATGTGAAATCGGGGATCTGGGAGCGTGGAAGTGCTGGAAATCCCATCTTGGGGTGGGATGGAAGAGGTCAAAGCTGCTGGAAATCCCATCTTGGGGTGGGATGGAAGTGGTTGAGGCTGGAGTTCAGTCTTGGAATAGCCAGGAGAGCGAGTGTGAGCAGGAAAGGGGAGGAAATGCCCAGACATCCCCTGAACACCTCTGGCATTCAAAGCAGGGCCACACCCAGGGATCTTCAGCCCTGAGATGCTCAAAGAGGGATCCCAAAGGAGGTTGGGCCCTCTTCCCTCCCCGGGCAGCCACAGGAGCAGCGCTGAGCTGCTCTGGGGGTCAGAGAGGTTTGATTTGAAAGCACAGCAAAGATTTATCTGCTCCTGGGAGCTGAGACCGAGCAGCCCGGAAGGAGGGACAAAAACAGGGCATGGGTCAAACTGGGTGAGTCCCAGAAGCACTTGAAGAGGTTTCCACAGCTCAGGGTCACGGGGAAGCTCCCCAGGAGGCTGGTGGGGAGTGGATTAGAGTTCAACAATTGCTTTTAGTGTTGGTTTCTGTCTCTGGCAGCCCCGGCCCCCTCTGCCAGCCCCACAGCAGGCACTGAGGTTCCTGAGGGCAGGGATCCGATTCCACCACGGGGGAGGGAGGGGAGGGATCACTACACCGTAGAAATCATCTGCTACAGGAGGAGAAAACCGATTCCCTAGGCCTAAAAAGGAGGGTGGGTGGCTCCCGTGAAGGGACAAGGCAAGAGCTTTATCGGAGATCCATCATCACCACGTCTCTCTCCACTATTGACACGTGATTGCAGGTCTGGAAGAGAGGAGAGGAGGGGACACGGGGGTTATTCAGATGTTCCCACAGCTCAGGTGAGTCTCCTCTACCTCCTGACACATCCTGCAGCCAGAGATTTGCCCTTGGATCCAGTTCCTTGGATCACCCCAACTGCTGGCCCTGCCTGCACAGGCACAAAATCACAAATCCCCCCTCAGACAGCCCTGGGCTGCTGCCAGGCCCTGTTCCTGCAGCTCAGGAGCTCTGCATCCCACCTCTGACAGCTGGAAATCCTTGGGAAGCTCCTGCACCTCCACCCTGCCAGGCTGAGCCTCCTGATTTAACCCAAGTGCAGTGTCCAACACACCAAGTCCCCTCCCCACAGCCCCCACGGAGCTCACCGTGAAGAGAGGGGGGTCTTTGGGGTGTGGGTGGAACCCCTTCTGCCGGCAGGATGAGATCTCCTCCAGGCCATGCTCCGTCAGCTTGAAAAACCCCGTCCTGGAGCAGAGGAACAGCAGCTCTGCAGGCCCAGCCACAGCCCCTGGGGCACCTCTGGGGCTGGGACTGAGGGACACCCCAGCTCCTCAGGAGCTCCTCTCCCCACCTCTGAACCTCCCTGGGACACCTCTGGGGCTGGGACTGAGGGACACCCCAGCTCCTAAGGAGCTCCTCTCCCCAGCTCTGAACCTCCTGTCAGCCACATCCCCTGGGGCACCTTTGGGGCTGCTCACCTGGAGCAGGGACTGAGGGACACCCCAGTTCCTCAGGAGCTCCTGTCCACACCTCTGAACCTCCCTGGGACACCTTTGGGGCTGGGACTGAGGGACACCCCAGCTCCTGTCCCCACCTCTGAACCTCCTGCCAGGGGTGGACAAGCCCTGCCAGCCACAGCTGACAGGAGCTGTCCAGTCACACTGGGACATTCCACCCCTCTGTGCCAGGGGTCTGAGAGAGGAAAGGTGTGTGGGAAGAGCCTCCCCAGCCCTCACCCCTGCAATCCATACTCACTCCTGGTATTTGGGAGAGCACACGATGGCGATGGACTCCGGCAGCATCATCTGGTAGGAGCAGTGGGTGTGCAGGTCCACGCTGGACAGGAAGGCTGTCTGGGTGGGGTGGGTCTGGAACAGGGACACGGGGACAGCCGTCACAGCAGGCTGGGAAAACCCTCCCAGGGGATCCTGTCTGCCGAGGGGATCCTGTGGCAGAGGAGACACAGCTCCTCGCAGGGCACACGCCTGGGGAACTCGAGGAATTGTGGAATTGTGGAATGCTTTGGGATGGAGGGAACTCAAACCTCATCCAGAGCCGCTGCCCCAGGCTGCTCCAAGCCCTGTCCAACCTGGCATTGGACACTTCCAGGGATCCAGGGGCAGCCTGGAATTCCATCCCAGCCCCTCTCCACCCTCACAGGGTAGAATTCCTTCCATCTAACCTGCCCCTAGCAGTGGGAAGCCATTCCCCCTTGTCCTGTCTCTTGTCCCAAGTCCCTTCCAGCTCTCTTGTAGCCCCTTTATTTTATTTTTGGACTGTCCTGAAACGTGTGCTCCTCTTTTCCATTTGGAATTACCTACAAAAGGAGCTCTAGGTTCCTGCCACATCCCGGGAGAAATCACACCTTGAAGCCACAACAACGTCCTTGCAGGCCACTGGAGTGCAGCTCCTGGGGCTCAGCACATCCCAGGGACAGCCACAGCATTCCAGGACACCCCAATCCATGGAGGACACCCCATTCCATGGAGGATTATCCCATCCCACGAAGGACACCCCAATCCATGGAGGACACCCCAGCATTCCAGGACACCCCAATCCATGGAGGACACCCCATTCCATGGAGGATTATCCCATCCCACGAAGGACACCCCAATCCATGGAGGACACCCCAATCCATGGAGGATTATCCCATCCCACGAAGGATAGCCCATTCCACGAAGGACACCCCAATCCATGGAGGACACCCCAATCCATGGAGGACACCCCAATCCATGAAGGATTATCCCAATCCATGGAGGATTATCCCAATCCATGAAGGATTATCCCATCCCACGAAGGACACCCCAATCCATGGAGGAAACCCCAATCCATGGAGAACACCCCATTCCATGGAGGATTATCCCATCCCACGAAGGACACCCCATCCCACGTAGGCTTGCACAACCCCAGACACCTCACCCAGCTCCTGCTGACAGCTCTCTCTCCTTTTGCTGCTTAG